CCGCAAGCGTGGGAAAGGGCTTCCAGTATTTAATAAAGTGGAAAAATTACCCTCCTGGGGAGAGGACGTGGGAACCACGGCGTCACTTGACGAACGCCAAGAAAATCCTTGATAAATACAACAAGGATCACGGGATCTATATTCGCGCTGTCCCAGTCCTGCCGGCCGGACATTGGGACTATTTAATCAAAAGATACAAACACTGCGAGGAGTCGCAACAATACTTGACAAAAAAACTATTTATTCCCGAAACCAATGTCTTCATCGAAATCAACGAGGACGTTGAGTCTAGAGGGGGGGTAATGTCACGATTTAACTCCAATCTAATCGCTCCAACACCGATCGATGAGCACGTGACCCCAGCGCTTGTTGCACGAGCGCTTCACGCCAATGGCATAACGTGGGAAGACTTTGCTGGCTAAAGATCACACGGCAACAGAACACAATAGTCGGAACACAATAGTCGTTTCCATGAACTATATTTAGTATTGACACTTGACACTTGACGTCTCCGATCACGATTTGCCTGGTAACCTCATTGTATTATATACTTAGCTACTTAAGTTCACACGGTTCGACAAACAGTATAAGTAGAGTAGCTATTCACTTGTAGTTCTTTAGTCTTTTATTCGATCATCTTTTCGAGATCACTTGCACCTCCCAATCCACTCTCTTGTAGAGTTGGACGCAAGCCTTGACTGCGACAGGTAGAGGTTTTTGCGCAAGGAGTGCACGGGGATGGTGAGGAAAGGAGGTCGGGGTGGGGCGGTACGAGGGTAAGAAGGTGAGTCTTTTATTATGTCACAGTCAAGGCTTGCGTCCAACTCTACAAGAGAGTGGATTGGGAGGTGCAAGTGATCTCAAAAAGATGATCGAATAAAAGACTAAAGAACTACAAGTGAATAGCTACTCTACTTATACTGTTTGTCGAACCGTGTGAACTTAAGTAGCTAAGTATATAATACAATGAGGTTACCAGGCAAATCGTGATCGGAGACGTCAAGTGTCAAGTGTCAAGTGTCAATACTAAATATAGTTTATGGAAATGACTATTGTGTTCCGACTATTGTGTTCCGTTGCCGTGTGATCTTTAGCCAGCAAAGTCCTCCCACGTTATGCCATCGGCGTGAAGCGCTCGTGCAACAAGCGCTGGGGTTACGTGCTCATTGATCGGTGTTGGAGCGATTAGATTGGGGTCAAATCGTGACAATGAGGCCCAATCGATTATTTTGCAGTGTTTCGCTCTGCCGTGATTTGGCCTTCCAGATTAATCGGCCTCGTTCTCCACCAAATCAAGACGGAATCACACAATTCTTGGTGTCAAATGGCAGCCCGGAAGCCGCTCTATAATCCTATAGAAACACCTCAACCAAAGTATGGATCTATCGCCCAGCAAACGGCTGCCTTCGTTGAGCGTTTCGTTGGGGTTTTTCACTGTATTCTAGTTACTTACGAAAACAAGATCCTGCAGGAGATTTTAAAAAAAATTGATTGGAGTGGGATTCGAACCCACGCCCCGGAGGACCAGATTACGCAACTTGGCGTAAGCGGTGCTTCAAATTGAAGTTGATCCTTAGTCTGGCGCCTTAGACCGCTCGGCCATCCAACCTTATGGGTTCAGTTTCCTGGCATCATCACCAAAAGTGTCGCCTGTAATTCTTGCCAACGGAGGCACTGCAGTTTTTGAGCTTAACTGCCTTAGCATAGGTGTGCATTATATTCAGCCTTGCCATAATTCCTAGCCTATGAAGACGCTGGATCCACTAAAGCAGCGAGGGAGACCGTCGGCGAGTAACGTGACCACAGACAGGAAGAGATATCCTGATTCTGGCATTAATGACCCTCGAGTGGGGATTCCACAATAGGGTGTTTCACAATTGGATTTTGGGGCCCAACTCGTGCCTCAACTCTGACCCCAACTTGACCTCAACTCGGGCCAAGTTGGGGCACAAGTTGGGGCCTCAATTGTGAACCACCTGAGCAGATGTTTTCTCGGAGTTGAGGCAGAGTTGAGGTTTGGGGATCAGATCTTGTGCTACAAGCGAAGTTGGGGCTCGAGTTGGGGCAGAAGTTGGGGCAAAGTTGGATGTCAAGTCGAGGTCATACCCTCGATTTGACATCCAACTTCGATTTTCGTGCCCCAACTCCGACCCCAACTTGCCCCGAGTTGGGGTCGGAGTTGAGGCATGAGTTGGGCCCCAAAATCCAATTATGAAACACCCTAATGAAACTGAACCTTAATCTGGCGCCTAAGACCTCTCGGCCATCCAACCGCGAGACTGAAGCCTACTTATGGAATCACGCTTTGGGCTGCGGGTGGATTGAGAAATACTTCGCAGTTCATTGGCTATACAGTATCGCACCCTCAGCACTTGCTCCAGTCAAGTTTGCAGCTACTATACAATTGCGGTTAGATTAGAAAAATCCTTGCAGACCCTCATCATCCAACTCCTTCAATAGCTCCCGTGCCTCTCGCGCAGGGCGAGCAATGAACGGCTTATCATTCGCTGCACTCTCTTGCACTTTTTGAGCAACACTCTTCAGCAGTGATAGCTTCTGGAACAGATTCGGTTGCGAGCTGTCGTTTTCTTCGTCTGGGTTAAGTAACGCGACTATTGTGTGTGAGGCTATCACTGAAGGTGGTGTGCCGCCAGTCAGGTAAGACCTTGGGAAACATCTAAGCAAATGAACGAAACACCACAAAGACAAAACATACTCTACAAGCGGCCGGAGGAGATCGGGATATACGGCCAATGCCGCCACTAAGTCAGCGATTGCCTGAGCATAATGATCTGTTACTGGTCAGTGGGAGTATTCTCGACAGGGAAAAAAACTAACCGTCGTGCTGTTCCCGGAATGCATCGGTGGCGAGCTCAATACACGACTCCCTCGCCTTTTCGCCTAGATGCTGTGAAGCACTTTTGACCACATTACTCAAGGCCAAAATCAAGCTACTCGCAATCCCATCATCATTCGACCTGATGCCAGTCACCAACTCCGTAACAACTGGGTCAACTCGCGGCTGACTACGCATCAAGACACCCAGAGCCTCGGCAGCCTTGTTCCGCACGACAATGCTCGCAGGATCGCTGGCGCTCTTGACAAACGTGCGCTGCAGTTGCGGGAAGAAGGGCTTGACAAACGCAGGTATCCGCTCGAGCATGGATGTAAGTGCGCTGAGGATGGCTGTCTTGACGGCGGGGGGATAAGTGGTCGCCTGTGTAGCGACTCGAATAAGGGGGCCAGTGAAGGGAACCACATAAGGTTTGATGGCATTATCTTCGGTGCGCTCAACAAGATCTCCGATCGCGTACGCGGCCTGCTCTCGCTGCTCGTTGCTGCCAGTGGTGAGCCCCGCGATGATGATCGGGACAGTAGGGGCGACGCCCTTCGGAAGACCAAAACCTGGGACATAGTGGCCCGGACCGCCGGTGGACTCTATACTGCGGCGAAGAGGCACCACCAGAGGTTCGAGCTCGTCCTTCGGAATGGATTTAACGAACACATCCAGTGCACTCCATGCCGCAGTATGGACGGGGACTTGCGAGTCTTCCAGCAGTGAAATCAACTGCCGGATCCAGTCAACGCGATAGAGTGATGAATCCAGGCTAGACTCTTCACAAAAGACGGCAAAAAAATTGCAAGCGCTGACGCGACGTTTTGGGGAGTCGTGCTTTGCCCTAAATTAGAAAAGCGACGGTCAGAAGGTCACGTGGTACAGGGCTTAAAAAACACACCATCCAAGTAACAACATCATGAGGGTGTTGAGACCTTCGGCATCGTTGATGGATGCAAAGAGGGCACGGATAGCTTCGTCCACAGCCGCCTGAAGCTCTTCATCTTGATCATCTTCAACAACTCTTACAAGAGCGGACATGATGACAGTTAGGCGCCTGCTCAAAGCACCACCGGCTACGGTGACCAAGGCGGCTAATGCTCGAGCATTGAAGAGCGTCATAGGAATAGCAGTAAGTGTCGGTATTAGGACGGGGAAGACGGTCGATGCTCGGACCTGCAATATAGTTAGATTGTATACACAACAGTCAACACACATGACAATACTGACACTCATCACTTCACGCAGCGCCTGAAGAGCAGTGCCTGAACCTTTGCCCGGTTGTCGAAGAGCGTCGAGCAGGGTTGGTATGGTCTGATCAATGGCTTTCGGTCCGAGATGTTCCTGCAGAATATCGAAGGCTTTTGCTGCCGCAGAGCGGACATTCGATTCATCATCAACCAAGGACGTTCGGACGATGTAGATGATGTCATCTTCATGACCGTCGCGCTGCGCGTCAGTCGAATTTTCCCTGCTGAAAGTCAATGAAGATGCATGATCAAACAAGAGGTGGACATGCATAATTTCACTCAGCGTCAAACAAACACCCTCGCGTGTCCTGGGATCCGTCGAGGTGGAATTTGTACGGAGAATAGTCATGACCTCGCCAAGAATTCGATCACCAAATTTGCGGCATACTTCTCCTACAGTCCTCCCGGCGGTCTTAGAGAAAAAAATTAGCGTGGAAAAAGCTCCAGAAATAACATAAAGCGGACCTCTTGCTGCTCAAACTCGTCGCTTGAGATCAGGTAGAGTATTTGTCGGACCAATTCGGGAAGTATTTCGCGCACTGTGATCTCAACTCAATAGCGGTCCCGGGAGAATAGGACTGGAATACCTGTCCGCGGGGTGTTGTGCACCAAAGCTTTCCAGATTTGGATGGACGATTGACGAACGACGCCAACTCCGTCTTGCCGTACCAAGTACAATGCAGCAAGGATACGATCTCGGCGTTCCACGCCCAGGATTTCGACAAATGCGCGTCTGGAGGATTCGTTTGTCGTTCCATCAACAACCGCCTCGTCTTCCTCCAGGTCGGACGCCTTGCCCGATATGCCCGAAACTTTGAAGAGGAGCTCACCAACGAGCGTGATCGACGATTGCTAAATAAGACAAGGTCAGCAGGCGCAGCACAGTGAAAACATCGACATGCCCGAATACGCCATCCAGGATCAAACATCCCGTGCTCCAGTTCCGGCAAGAGCAGATCAATGGCTTTGCTAGAATAATTGGTGACAACCATGCGACCAGCGCGCATGGCGGCTTCACGAACATATTCTTCAACGTCTGCGAGACCGCTAAGAATAGGAGCGATGATCTTTGGAAGATGAGGTTGGAAGCGAGAGCCGAAAGTAGCCGGTAAAAATACGAGGAGCGACATGAAACCTTCTCGGACAGTAGGACGGGGAGATTGAGCGTTGGCTATAATATCGGGAAGCAAGCCCTCCAGCCGCTCCATCCCCAGTCCGGACAAGACTTCGCTCAATCCTTGAGCAGCACCTTGCCGGTCCACACCAGATGTGTCCGTCTTGAGCGTTCGAAGGAGACCAGGGACGAGATCGGGGAAGTGGACCTCGCCCAATCGTTCAACGAGAGTTCCCAGAGCTTTCGCCGCTGTGGCCCGGGCTTCCGGAACAGGGTCGACAAGGACTTGATGAACCATGGGTAACAATCCAGACAGATATGGAACAAAGTCCTTGGAGTCGGTAAGTGAGGCGAGATTGCCGACGATTTGTGCAGCCTTCTTTTTAGTGTCGGCGCCTCGCTCTCGGAGACCACGTTCAAGGATCGGTACCACCTGAAGAAATTCAGTAAACAGAAAGGGAGTCGATGTGTTGTGTTGCTTACGAGGGCCAAGGACGAGTGATCAATATAATGCATGAAAGAGGTTTTAAGAAGCGCGGAGAGGGCGTTGGGTGTCTTGGCAGGATCAACCAGAGCTTTGAGAAGGACGGGGACCAACGACTGAATCTCGGGATTGGTAATAACCTCGCCAAACTGCTTCAAACTCTTGTTAGCTGCTGTCCTAACTTGAGCGTGCGAGTCGGTCAGAACCCCTGTCAGGCGCGGAATGACGATAGGAAGTGAGAGGGAGAGTTGTCGAGGAGAGCAGTACGCCATCATCCCGAGAAGCTCAATAGAACCCTTCTTCGTCCTCCACTGCTTCTCATCTAAACCAGAGAGCAGTGAGGGTAGAATCAACTTGACCCCATAACCCGACATGTTTCCCATGATAATACGAGCGGCATCTTGCGTAGCCTCACGCACATCTGCGGTCGAGTCACCAAATGATGTCAAAAGAAGGGGTAAAACGTAGGTGATGTACGGCTCGAAGAGGCGTCCGAGGGTAGTTGACAACGTCTCAAAAGCGAACATGGTCCCTTGGCGAGGCTCGTAACGCTTTTTATCCTCTGTAGCGGTTCGAAGTCGACGAATAATATCAAATTCTTTCATGCCGGCAATGCCAGTGCCCTTGAGGACCCCTGCTAGACCGTATGCAGCGCCGCGGCGGGCGGCATACTTGGTCGCATTGAACAGCTGGTCCATGAGGTTGTCGATTAGTGGTGCAACTTTCAGGCCCATCACTTTGACGAGCGGCGACAGACACTCAGATACCGCCATCTGCACTTGCTCGGCGGGTGTCTTCAACGCATCCACCAGCCGCTCCACAATGGACGGCACGCGGGAATCCTCCGCGTCCAAATGGCGAGCAACACGGCCGAAGAGGATAACAACGGCTTCCTTGATCTGGTCACCGGTCTCCGTGGCAGGGC